CCCCAAAACCCCAAAACCCCTTTCATTAATTATTGAGTTATTTTGCTTAAAATAAATAAGTTTAAATTAATTTGAGTAATGGAAACGAAATCAAGTGATTATAAAAATCAATACTTTTAGCTTCTTGAGATGAATAAAAGACTTGTAAGCTATTAACTTAGGATAATTTATTAAGCAAAAAGCTAATGAATCAACAATTAATGAGCTGAGTCTCTTATAAGGTAGATTAAAGGATAAGGATAGAGAAATATATTCGCTTAGAAAAGAACTTGAAGACTAAAAGTCAAAATGTCAATGTCAGAAATTACGCTTTAGCAGAGAAAGCCCTATCTTTTCCATTTCATCTAAAAAATAATTAACAAGCGAGTATGGGAATGGGGGTGAAAATGTTTCTGAAATGTCTTCTGTTGCCCATCTGATCCCTCATTATCAAAGAGGTATCATCATATTCTTGACATTCCTTAATCTAAATTATATAGACATTACGAAAAATCCACATTCTTTATAGAAGCAGATTTCTCCCTTAAAAGTAGAATTAATCAATATGTCTGGATAAAGGAATACTGAGTTAAGCATGAGTAGAGAATCTGTTCGGATAAAAACTGAGAAATTTACCTTCAGTAAATTTGGATTGATCTCAATCGAAGCAAATGAAATAAAGTAAATTGATTAGCCTCTTCATGATAGCTATAATAACCTTCTCTTAAAATCGCTTTAAAAAAGTTACTAAAGGTATTCTATGAGTGGAGGTGATATGGGTATAACAGGGGATTATGCAATCGATTACGATCAACTTCAGAGAAAAATAAATTTCTCAGTCTTTTATGAATTGAATAAGAATAAAGGGAGAGCAATAACTGAATATCAAAAGAATAGTTCTTAGCAAATTTAATTTTAACAATCAGTGAAAGATAGCAATAGAAGTTCTGCTCATACATCTATCAATCTTTAAAAGCATATCTAAATATAATAGATTGAAAGTTTTTCCAAAGATTAAAGTTCTCCTGTAGATTCTGATTCTTCTGACGATCTTTACTTTAATGACAGGATGGATGGAATTTCTGATAATTTACCAAATAGAAATAGAATTCCGAATGGATCACCTAATCCCCACTTCAAAAAATAAATACCCATCAAAGATATATCACCAGAATAGGTCAGACACCAAAGTACATTTGTCCATGGCAGTACAGCTCACAATACAGTTAACAACACAAGATTTTCATCAATTATAAGTGAAGGAATTCATCCAGATTAGAGAGAAACAGTCAAATTGAAGGCATCTCCCTTTAATATGTCAAAGAATAACTATAGACCTCCACTAAGAGAAACTCATTAAGTAGACTTATAAAAATCTGTAATGGGAGTCACATTCAGTGAGATTAGAAAATCTAGCTTGAGAAAAAGCATTCTGATGAATGGAAATTCCTTGCCACTCTAAATTCAGTAAATGCCAACTAAGATCGACGTTCGTATATTCGAGGAATTTTTTATAATTGGGATTGATAAAGAGAAAGTAACTCCTTAATAATTATAGCAAGAAACGCCTCTTGAACCTTAAAATCTGTACATGTTTAATTAAGAGGTAAATAAAACATTATGCTAGAGAAGAATGGTAGTCAAGGACTTTTGCTTCCCCAATGGAATTTAGATCGCAAAATTAATTGATAATGGAAGAGCAGAGAAAATTCTTTACACCCAATCAAGCATCCGAGAAAATTGCTTCGTCTTTACCCTTTAGTCTTAAGATATGGACAATTATGATCCATTGATAAAAGAAGATCATTTCTACTGCATGTGTTTAATATTTGAGGATATCGTAGAAGGAGCGCCTCATTAGTATTACACTGCTTAAAAAGCATATTGCATTATGAGTTAATTTAGGTTTTTTGACTTACATTTATCTGTCCTAAACACTATCACCAACTTATATAAAAATGAAAGATTCGCTCAATTAAATAAGATGACTTCCAATAAGATATTAAATCACTTACAGAATGAAATTCAGATTTTGATTAAGTTTCCACTTGTATTGCCAGAATTAATAGAGTTTCTCAACACCTATTATGAAACTGATCCAATGAAAGAAGAAATAAGGCTTCTTAATAAAACAATTGGGTATTCAATAACTTATAAGATACCATAGAGCTTAAAAATTCAATAGTAATCAGATATCATTTGGTACGCATCGATGTTTTTATCAGCATTAAATGCTTAGCAGTTTATTGAAATACTATGTGCGATGATGCTTGAAAAATCAGTGATTTTTGTTTCTGATAACCTACCTCTTTTATCATCAGCAGTTTTAGGCATGCAATGCTTCTTGAATCCTTTTAAATGGTGTCATGTGTGCATTCCTATACTTCCAAAGTCTCTGCTAGATATGATTGAAGCCCCTATGCCATATATTTTGGGATTATTGAGGAGTCATGTTAAATATGTGCCAAGTATGAATGAAGATGGAAGCTATAATCTAGGTTAATATGATTGTGATTTGTTCTAAGAGAGACTTGTAGTAATGATAGATGATGATAATAAATCTGTAGCTTTATGTTAAGATAAGCTAGATCTTCCTAAGCCTGATTTTAAAGAATTAGAGGAGAAGATGTTAGAACCTTTTTCTATTTTAAATAATTCAGTCAACTATATATTCAATCCCAATGAAAGATAGAAAAAAGCCTTAAAAGACATTCAAGATTACGTACTAATAGCTTTAAAAGATCATATAGCAGACAATTTACCATAGAAAGTGCTTTAAAAATAGTAAAAGTAAAATGATCCAAAGCATTTAGCAACCTTAATTCTGAAAAATAGTAGGCCAAAAGATGTAAGATTTATGGAGTAGTTTGTCAATAGCCAGATGCTTATACATTATCTCGAGCAATAATATTGTGTTTGAAAATGAATTTTGAACTTATAATTATATTTTTCATTATTCATATTGGGGTTTTGGGGTTTTGGGGTTTTGGGG